CAACTGGTCCACATCTTTTCTAACACCAGACACAGTACTCCAGGTGTAGCCTCACCAGTGCTGAATAGAGGGGAATAATCACTTCCCTTGATCTGCTGGGGACGCTTCTACCAATGCAGACCGGTATGCTGTTAGCCTTCTTGGCAACAAGGGCACACTTGGCTCATATTCATCTTATTGTCCACTAATCCCCAGGTCCTTTTCTGAAGAGCTGCTGCCCAGCTGGTCAATCCTCACTCTCTACCATTGCATGGGATTGTTCTATCTTAAGTGCAGGATTTTGTACTTGTCCTTGTTGACCCTCATGAGATTTCTTTTGGCCCAATCTTCCAATTTGTCTAAGAGGATTTGTCACTGAATCCTAGCCCTATCCTCCAGCGTATCTGATACTCCCCCCCCAGCTTGGTGTCATCTGCAAGCTTGCTGAGGGTGCACTCCATCCCATCTTCCAGGTCATTGATGAAGATATTGAACAAAACTGGCCCCAATACTGACCCCTGGGGCACTCCACTTGATACTGGCTGCGGACTAGATTTTGAGCCATTGATTACTAGCCTCTGAGCCTGATGCTTCTGCCAGTTTCCTATCTACCTTACAGTCCATTCTTCCAGCCTGTACTTCCTTAGCTTGCCTGAGAAAATGTTGTGGGAGACCTTATCAAAAGCCTTGCTAATCAAGGTATATCACATCCACTGGTCTCCCCTCATCCACAGAGCCAGTCATCTCATCATAAAGGCCAATTGGGTTGGTCAGGCATGACGTGCCCTTGGTGAATCCATGCTGACTGTTCCTAATTGCCACCTTCTCCTCCAAGTGCTTAGAAATGGGTTCCTTGAGCATCTGCTCTATGATTTTTTTCCAGGTGATGAGTTGAGGCTGACCAATCTGTACGTCCATGTATCCTCCTTTTTCCTTTTCTTAAATATGGGCACCATGTTGGCCCTTTTCCAGTCATGCAGGATCTCTCCTGATCACGGTGAGTTTTCAAAGATGATGGCCAGCAGCTCTACAATCACATCAGGCAACTCCCTCAGCACCCTCAGGTGTATCCCATACAGCTCCATGGACATATGTATGTCCAGCTTTTCTAAATAGTCCCTAACCTGCTCTTTTGCCATTGTTGGCCGCTCACCTTCTCCCTAAACTATGCTCCCAGGTGCAGTAGTCTGGGGGCTGACCTTGTCTGCGAAGACTGAGGTGAAAAAGGCATTGAGCACTTCAGCCTTTTCTGCATCCTGTGTCACTAGGTTGCCTCCCCCATTCAATTAGGGACCCACACTTTCCCTGATCTTTCTCTTGTTACTGACGTACTTGTAGAAACCCTTCCTGTTACTCTTCACATCCCTTTCTAGCTGCAACTGCAGTTGCACTTTGGCCTTCCTGACTTCATCCCTGCATGTCCGAGCAGTACTCTTATACTACTCCCTAGTTGTTTGTCCAACTTTCCACTTATAAACTTGCTTTTTGTGATTTAGTTTACTGAAGAGTTCCCTGCTAAGCCACTACAAATACAAGTAATTATCCTTGTATTTTGCAGAGTTTTTTTTTTTTTTACCCTACAGCAGTGCATGTGTAGGCATTGGCATGGCTGGCTGGGGAACAAGGGTGCTTCAGTGTGGGGGTTGCCTGCTGGTTAGCCTTGCACTAGAGCACCCTCATGCCCCCGCCAGTCTCTGGTGCATGTTGAGCTAGATTGGAGCAGCCCCTGGCTGGCAGGCTGACTTCCCTGGCCTCCTGCCAGCTTGGGCTGCTCCAACCTGGCTCAGTGTGCTGCGCTCCTGGGCACACGTGTAAACACAGTGCCTGTGAATTGATAAATTCCAGTGCCATATGCACCAGAGTTTATTGCTTCTACTTAATTGCCACAGGGTGGCAAATACAGTGAGACCACAGTGTATTCTATCTCATTTTCATGTTTTGGGGGAAAAAATTAACAAATGGTGCATGACTTGCAGGTATTAAGTGTTTCAGCTCATTAAATTTTTTAAGGTACATGTGCTTAAAATCAAAATGTGGATATTGGTCATGAGAAGTGTGGGGTTGAGTATTCCATTTTGTCTTTTTTGGTATGGTAGCAGGAAGAACTGTTGGTGATTTTTGCATGATAAGCTCATGAAATGCCACTGATAGCTGACAGGTAGTAATAGTGTAGCTCTTTACAATGTATTTACTTGTGAGTACTGGGTTTCAGAGGCATTGACATACCTGTCGTGTGCCCTTTAAAGTTTTTTCACACACGTTAATAGAGCAACAAACTGATTGCAGCTTCTCATATTTGAAGTCTAGGTAGATTTTTGCTGAGATAGAATTAATTAATGGTAAGAAGTTGGCAAAAAAATTGGGCTAGTTAAGTGCTGAACAGTAGAGAGAATGTCACAGTGTATGAAAAGAAACAGCTGTCATGTTATTCCTTACTTTATAATAAACATATTACATTAGATCTTTAAAATAATACACTTTTTTTTTTTTTAAAGTGAATTTGGTACACAAGATGTGTGTAAGGCCTCTTGACAGGAATGGAAAAACAACAGGTGCTACATTGGGAACAGAGAGAACACTAGTTCTCCTTATTTAGTGGGCTTGCAAACTTGTCATTTAAAATTAATGATCCCAGATGCAATATATTCATCTGTTCTTTGCCTTAGTGGTTGGTTAATATTATAATGAAAAACTGAGTTTTGCTTGCCTCTCAAAAGCTACTCTATTAATGGATGACTAGAATTTCATAAAGATAGTATCATAGAAAATTAGGGTTGGAAGGTACCTTATGAGGTCCTCTTCTAGTCCAACCCCCTGCTCAAAGCAGGACCATCCCCAACTAGATCATTCCAGCTAAGGCTTTGTCTAGCTGGGTCTTAAAACCTGCAAGGATGGAGAGTCCACCACCTCTCTAGGTAACCTGTTCCAGTGCTTTATTACCCTGATGAGAGTTTTTCCTAATATCTGACCTAATTGCTGCAACTTGAGACCCTTGCTCCTTGTTCTGTCATCTGCCACCACTGAGAACAGTCCAGCTCCATCCTCTTTGTACCACCCTTCAGGGAGTTGAAGGCTGCTATTAAATCCCTTCTCAGTCTCTTCTCTAAACTAAATAAGCCAAGTTCCCTCAGCCTCTCCTCAGAAGTCATGTGCCCCAGCCCCCTCCCCACTTTTGTTTCTCTCCTCTGGTCTCTCCAGCTTGTCCACGTCCTTCCTGTAGCGGGGAACCCGACACTGGGTACACTGCTCCAGATGCAGCCTCACCAGTGCCAAATAGAGGGAAATAATTGCTTCCTTTGATCTGCTGGCAATACTGTTGTCTAATGCAGCCCAGTATGCTGTTAGCCTTCTTGGCAACAAGGACACACTGCTGGCTCATATTCAGCTTAATGTTCACTGTAACCCCCAGGTCCTTTTCTGCAGAGCTGTTGCTTAGCCAGTCAGTCCCCAGCCTGTACTGGTGCATGGGATTGTTCTGTCCCAAGTGCAGGACTTTGCACTAGTCATTATTGAACCTTATGAGATTTCTTTTGGTCCAGTTCTCCAATTTGTCAGTCTCCCTGAATCCTAGCCCTACCCTCCAGCATATCTGATATTCCCCCCCAACTTGGTGTCATCTGCAAGCTTGCTGAGGGTGCACTCCATCCCATCTTCCAGGTCATTGATGAAGATATTGAACAAAACTGGCCCCAATACTGACCCCTGGAGCACTCCACTTGATACTGGCTGCGAACTAAATGTCAAGCCATTGATTACTACCCTTTGAGCCTGGTGATGATCCAGCCAGTTTTCTGTCCACCTTACAGTCCATTCATCCAAGCTGTAGTTCCTTAGTTTGCTTGCAAGAATGCTATGGCAGACTGTATCAAAAACCTTGCTAAAGTCAAGCTGCTCTCCCCACATCCAGAGCCAGTTATCTCATCATGGAAGGCAATTAGGTTGGTCAGGCATTTCTTGCTTTGTGAATCCATGTTGACTGTACCTAGTCACCTGCTCCTCCAGGTACTTAAGAAAGCATTTCTTGAGGACCCTGCTCCATGATTTTTCTGGGGACTGAGGTGAGGCTGACTGGTCTGTAGTTCCCCAGATCCTCCTTCTTCCCTTTCTTAGAGACGGGCAATCTTCTCCGATTGTCCAGGACCTCCCCTGATCACCACAAGTTTTCAAAGATAATGGCCAGCAGCTTTGCAATTGCATTGGCCAATTTACTCAGCACCCTTAGGTGTATCATGTCCAGCCCTATGGACTTTTACGTGTCTAGCTTTTCTAAATAGTCCCTAACTTTTTCTTTTGCCACTGTTGGCTGCTCACCTTCTCCCCAAACTGTCGTGCCAGGTGCAGTAGTCTGGGAGCTGACCTTGCCTGTGAAGACTTAAGGTAAAAAAGGCATTGAGTACTTCAGCCTTTTCCACATCATCTGTCACTAGGTTGCCTTCCCCCATTCAGTAAGAGACCCACACTTTCCCTGACCTTCCTCTTGTTGCTAACATGCTTGTAGAAACCCTTCTTATTACCCTTCACATCCCTTGCTAGCTGCAACTCCAATTGCACTTTGGCCTTCCTGACTTCATCCCTGCATGCCTGAGCAGTTATCTTATACTCCTCCCTACTCGTTTGTCCAAGTTTCCACTTATAAGCTTCTTTTTTTGTGTGTTTTAGCTCACTGAAGAGTTCCCTGCTAAGCCAAACTGGTCTTCCACCATACTTGCTAGTCTTCCTAAGTATGTAGAAACTAATGAGTTGTTTATGCCAGGAACAGGTCTTTGTTATATACACCTCCCTTTTGCATATGAATATACAGATGAAAACATAGCCAGCCAACTTTTTTTTAAAATTTTGAATAAAATAAAAAGCATGGAATATCAAGGAACAAATATTTATCTTTGTATTTAAGTAGTGGCTCAAAATTGGAAAATTCAAAGATGGTGCCATTGAATTGGTTTTCAGCATTTTAAAACCGTTTATTTTAACAAGTTGTTTAAAACCTGTTTCATGAATCTTCTATTTTGTTTTCTTTTTAGTTAACAAGCACAAACCATGGATTGAAACAACATATCATGGTATAGTTACGGAAAATGACAACACGGTACTCTTGGATCCACCTCTAATAGCCTTGGATAAAGACGCACCTCTTCGCTTTGCAGGTACAAAAATATATCTGTAGATGTTTTATATCTAATGGGAATTTTTGGTTTGTCTGTTACGTAGCATTTTTCCCTGATGACCTATAACTTAACCTTCTTTAGGATTTTTTCAGGGCACGTGTTGGCCCATGGTCCCAGATGATGGTGGTTTGTTTATAACTCTTCTAAAGAAGAAGTTACTATATATTTAGGAATAGAAATTCCATGCCAATTTTTCATTCATTTTCTCTTTGCATGTTTCTTACACGGACACTAACATTGTCTTAAATACTTGTGTCCAGACTCCACATTTCAGACCACTCAACGTAGAAAAACATTCCTCAGGAAAGAGTTCTCTTGTCATTCTCAAGAGAGCTCGCAGGTTGTTGGTTTTTTGGGTTTTTTTTAGTTTTGGTTTGTGTCTTTCTTCACTAATAGACTGGAGGGGGCTCATGATCAATTGTTATTTTCACTACTAAAATTAATATTGGGCTCCTTCTGTGCTGTATTTTGACCAAGGTGTTCTGCAGAAATCCAGACTTTTCTGTTGTGGGTTCATTCAGCAGTTTTTGATATTTAAAAAAAAAAAAGGGATGTCCTTTTCTACCCTTAGAGCTGCGATTTCTACTAGTTAGAGTTTATTTGTATATATCACAGATGAAACATGGAAGAATTTCTTAGTTATCTATGTCTTTCTATCTAAACATGAAGTTAACACTTTGAAGCTGCTTAAAAATCTTTATCCCATTGGAATGGACAGTTTGCTAAGGATCCTTCAGCTGTGATAGCATTAAAGATCTTCACTCAGTCTAGAGCAGCAATCCCTCCTGCAGCTTGGGAAAGAGACTATTTCTATACCCTGCTAAGTAGCCAAGCAGAAATCTTTCTGTTTTTGGAGTGCCTCAGTTTCAGTATGGAAATGGATAAACATTCTGTAAACAGGAAGTTGAAGGTGACTTGGCTGCTTCCTATTGAAGGGCAGAAAATCTGCTCACAAAATAGAATTTTGTATCATGTACACTGCTGTAATTGCCTGCTACTTATTGCTGATTTTAAATATACATTTTTTGTAAATCGCATCAAGTTATTTACATTACGGGAACATGTGTAGGTCTAAAATCGTACTCTCTTATCTATCTATCTATCTATCTATCTATCTATCTATCTATAGAAAGATGGTGTCTGTTCCAAAGGGCTTGTAATCTGTATATGTAAATAAGATAAGTATTGGTTGGGATGGACCCGTATTATGATGGGGAACTGAAGCAGTGTGTGTGATTTGCCTAAGAAGTGTTTGAAGAATCACACAATCATGGAAAATTAGGGTTGGAAGGGACCTCAGAAGGTCATTTAGTCCAACCCCTTGCTCAGAGTAGGACCATCCACAACTAGATCATCCCAGCCAGGGCCATAAAAACCTTTAGGGATGGAGATTCCACCATTTTTCTCGGTAACCTGTAATAGTGCTTCACCACTGGAGATTCCACCATTTTTCTCGGTAACCTGAAATAGTGCTTCCCCCCCTTCCTAGTAAGTTTTTTTTTTTTTTTTTTTTTCTTTTTTTTTTTTTCCTCCCTAATATCCAATTTAAACCTCTCATTGCAATTTGAGACCATTGTTCCTTGTTCTGTCGTCTGTCACCACAGGACAGTCTAGCTCAGGAGTGAACAATTATTTCAGCTGTACAGCCACTTAATGAGTTTTGGAAAGCTGCAAGGGTAGCCCCACCCCCTGGTCACCATTTTGGGATCAGAAGTTCTGCCCCATAACCCCTTACCTTTGCCCTGGGAGTCCATCCCCTTGCCCCAAGAAGTACTCCTTTTCAGAGGTGGGGGAGAGGGTCCATCTTGGAACCAGAATAAAAACAAAATCATATAGTAAAAATAGGGCGGCCACATTTTAAAATGTAAAATGTGGGATTCCTCCCCCCGCCCCCCCAGCGGCACAGCTGGAGTCAAGCAGTGCCAGGGGTGGATGTGGGTTGCCTGCTGCAGGTTTGGGACTCCCCACCCTGCTGCTTTCCCCCCTGGAGCCCTGCACTGGCCATGTGCCCCCTGCCTGCCTGGCAGCAGTAGGTGGCACAGCTCCATGCTACTGCTGCTCCCACTGTTGCTGGGCAGGCAGAGGGCTTGTTGCCGTGGCTTTGCAGGGCCCCTTGGGGGATGACAGTAGGATGGGGAGGCCCAAACCTTCAGTGGGCAGCCCACATGTGCCTCCACACTGTGCACAAATGTAGGAGGGGTGGTTGGGGGGCAGGTGTATGACTCTGTGTGTGTGTGTGTGTGTGTAGGGGGTTTTAAGAGAGTGTGGCTTCATGTTTGTGGGGGGGCATGGGATATATTGCTGGGGTGTGTATGTGGGGGAGTTGTGGCTGGCGGGGGTGGGGGGGGAGGGGGTGTGGGGTGCTGAAG